TTTTTAATGTAATTTAACTAATGCTGTTTATAAATACTGCCCTATAAAAACTGAATGCAAATGTATCCTACATAGTGGTACTTTGTAAACGTCCCTAAACCTAGTACAAACTGTTATGGTTGTATTTAGATGTCCTCCAAAGCCTCATGTGATCTATGATTGGGCTTTTTCACAGGTGGCTGGAGCTAGAGTGTGACTCTGGAATTAATTCATAGTGCAATGCTGGGCTCAAGCACACTAGGATAAGGGTGCGTGTGTGTGTGTGTGTGTTATCTGCCCAAGGTAAGAGGGCAGAAAGACACCATTAAAGTCCCTTTATTGCTTCTGCCATCTCGTGGGCACCATGAACTGTTCTTTGTGATGCTCCTCCAAGCCACCCTGCCTTGGAGCCAGGTGATTATGGACTGAAACCTCTACAAACTCTGAGCTACATAAACCTTTCCTCCTTTAACTTTGAGTGTTGAGTATTTTGTCTCAGCAATAAAAAAGTAACTAAGAAAAAACCTAATTAGTTTTTCAAAGGAAACTCCCTTTTTCTTCATTGCTGCTCCACTGCTGAATTTTCTTCCTTTCATTCAAAATCATTCATTTGAGCAAGCATGGTGGTGCACACCTGTAATCCCAGCACTCAGGAGGTTGAAGCAGGAGGATCCTTGGCAGTTTGAGGCCAGCCTGGACTATAAAAGGAGCTCAAGGCCAGCCTGAACTGTGTAGTGAGACCTTGTCTCAAAACAACCACACACAAAAAAAGTCACTCCTTGAATCCCTACAATCTCTTCACAATGAGCTAACACTAATTTATGACTCTGGGGAGGAATAACGGTGTCTGTGGGCGAGGGTAAAATATGTTAGAGGAAGAATAGGAAGCATAGCCTGGACCATCCAGAAGTCAAGAGAAATGATCAAATTACAGAAAATTTCAAAGAACAAATAAATACTTTATCATAACTTATTAACATCACAACATATTGAAATATCTGAAAACTTAAAAGTTTTTACAAACTAATTAAAAATACATTTAGCTCATCAATTCGTAAGTCAAGTTGTGGTTCTGAATTAATGTATCTTAGAGGAAAAAGACATGCTAAGAGGTAAGAAAAATGTGTCTTAGTTCAGTCCATAATCAGCTGGCTCCAAGAGAGAGCAACAACCATTCATGGCAGCAGAGACAGCAAAAGTAACAAGAGCAGAAAGGGAGGAGAGAAAAGACTCTTTCTGTCCCTTGTGTTGTATGTGGGGTTCCCATTCCAGGGTGGGTATAGCACTCATACTCCAAATCCCAGCATTAGACAATGAATCAATCAGAAACTCTAGATTCTTCAGCCCCTCCCAAAAGCAACCCCTCATGACTGCATGGGGCTTTGGGGGGGCCACCCAGACACAAAAATAATAGATGTACCCAGAAAAGACCTGTGTTTTAAAGAATCTGAATTCAGACATGAGAAGCTATGTTCCTCTACCTTGGTTCTTCAAAAATTCTGGTGGATCATGCAGCAGAACTTAAGATTTTTAGGAAGCATTTGACAAGATTCTATAAAAGACATCAATGACGAAGGTATCAGTCACGTATAAAAGGTATGATAAAAGATTCAGTAGAGAAAAATGAGACTTGATTAAAGATAGGTAAACACATATTTTCTGCTGCCTTTCTGAGTCCTACTAAAGTAAAGGCATACTTCTAACCTCCAGGGTGAAATCTACAAGGACAAAAATAATGGAAGCTGGTGGAGAAAGTGAAGAAATAACCTAACTAGGTACTGTGGAAAGTAGGGGTTTAACTGTGAGCCTGAAATCAGGAAGAATGGCTAACACAGGGCTGGGGTCCCAATCCTCTCATTGGCATTAGCCTTGAGGCACATTCTCTGGTAGAAGACAAAACACGGACCAGGAGAATATGAGACACAGTGAGGGTGGGGCCACTATACTGGAGACTGAGACATTAAACTAATGTCACATAGAGTAAACCTAAATTCTTTTCCCTTTTCTCAGCTTTGAGTTCCAGTGACCCAATTTATATTCTCTAAGGAGGAGATTAGAAGAAGGTACTCTGGAATCAAGTCACTCAGAAACAGAAGACTGACTGACAGTGACATGGAGTCTTGCAAGGAAATAGTTTATCCCAAATACTGAAGACTGCTGGCAGTGAGCCCCAAACTTTCCAACAGCTTTCTACTCCACTACCCCTGCACAGGAACAAGCTGTCAGGCATCCTAGATGTTTGAGGAAAGCAGCTCACATGATAAGAGGAAACAAGTCAAATATGAAGAAAAATGTGTTTTTGAAGAAAATTATGCAGAAAAAAAATAAATTTTAATAATCGATAATTACGGTACCAGAGTTATTGACTGCAGGAAAATTATAATCCAAGAAAAAAATAATCAAAATACAGTACATGACTGAGGTGAATGATACTTACAAAGTCATAACAAGGCAATGAGAACACTGACCCTACTGAAATTATGATGGATTAGGAGGATGAAGGGAGGGAAAAATATGACTGTGTGTGCTGTGGGTGAGGTGGTGAGAAAGTAAAGATAGGTTTTAATAATCAACAGGTACTCCCTGAAATTAAAAGCAGTACTGATAAAAAGGTTACTTAGAGACATGTATGTAAATATCAAAGCAGGAGTGGAGAATCAGCTGAAAGTAGTTACCTCTGAAAGTGGGTAACTGAGAGAAGCAGAAAACAGGAGACTTACTTTTTATTAACAGTGATTAAGAATCAAATGTCTTTTTGTATTACAAACACATACTTTCTTTACTATCAGCATACGATACGATGTTCATATGTTTATATTGCTTCATGAGCAGCTCATAGTAGATGCTAACTACGTGTTGAATGAAGGCTATTCCAGAAAATACTACTGGATACAGAGATAAATTATTTGGTAAGTCACATAGCAAATCTCTAATGATGTTTTACGAGTCATGATCTAGACCTTCATTTACTACTCACTGTCATGTGAAACAAAGACTTCCATGTTCTAGAGATTATGGTAAACAATCTCTCGTTTTATATCTGCCAGATGCATGGAAATGGAGATGTACAGAAATTCTTTTTAACTTTTGGTTTATACTTATTCTGTACCCAAACAAGCTCTATGGTTCTCTTTAAATTCTTTAGGCCAAAAGTTTGATTCTAAATTATCTTTGTATAAACCACAGGGCTCAATACTGTACCTGTTATATATTCAGTACTCAATACATAATAGAAAAGAATAAATGGAGAGAAATAGTCATGGCATCAGATTTGCAGGAGTGACACTATCTGGTACTCAATCTTACCTTTGAGGTCTTTGATCAGTATCTTAGAACTGAGTGTGATTACCATACTAGGAATCCAGCATAGGCTCAACCCAGAATCCTAACATGGTTCTGTAATGGATACTAAGCAGGCTGTTCTTACATCTCATTTACAGTGCAGGAAGTAAAGCTGAGATTAGAGCCAGACATACAGTATCTATATCAAATCAGACCCCCTGCACTAACCAGTTGTATAGATTAGGTAAATTCCTGCTTTCCTTGGGTCTAAGTTTCAATGTGGCAAACATTTTTAATTACCCAGATATATCTATTCTTCCTCCTTTATTGATGCGTTTTGATTTGTAATGTGGTTACATGTGGATAAACCCATCATAAATTGAAAAATATCCAAACTAAAAATCCATCAATACCCTCAATCTACTGAATGTCAAAGCTTAGCAGCATAGTATACTGCGGAGGATCAGTTGTCTACTCTCATGATCATGTGGCTGGCTGGAAGTTTGGGTTTGCTGCTGATGTCTACCTCCCTCAAAAAGGAATACCAGGTATTACCAGCCAGGGAAAACAACCCAAAATATGAGGCATGGTTTCTGGCAATGTATCACTTTTGCACTATCATGAAGTTGATGATAAGTCAATATGATGGAACTTCTTAACCTTTAGGTGGACACAGAAACCACATTTTCAGCCTTTCTTGCTGCTACCTCGGGCTGAGTTCATGTCATACTCTTAATGGGAAAGATCTTACATAATATTCTCACCCTCACCTTTCCCTCTGTGAACAAGGAGTACAGTGATGATAACAGGAGCTGAAGCAATCACTTTGGGTCCAAAGATGGAAAATCATGTTGGCAGATACCGCCAGTCCTTGGGCTAGAAATAAACTTTTAATCTTATTTAAGCCTCTCATTTGGGTTCCGTTACAAGAACTCAGAGCATGTGATAATATATGCAGTTTTCTTTTTATACAGTTAGAATTATATCCAGTAGCACTGTTGAAAGGAGGAGGGGTTAAATCAGTGGCAGTTATTATTATCTAGACTTCAGAAGTTTTCTTTTAATCTGATATCAAAGTCATGGTCTGAGTAGAATCACTGAAAGTAAGACATCTAGAGTGCTGTGATTAGTGCCAAAAACAGTCACAAACAAGACTGTGCACCCTATGAGGTCGGCCCACGGCCAATTCACTAGTGAAACAATAGGAAGAGGAACCTCTGTGGAAGAGGTGAGGACAGATGTTTGTGGTAAGGAGGTGACAGTGAATGTTATACTAGTTACATTATTTATCTCTTCATAGAAACCTTAATAAAATATCCAGATCTGGATCTATTTTGTGGTTGTGGTTTAAATGTTGAGTAAGTAAAGTCTTAAAGGTAAGAGCACAGGAGGAAAACTGGGCTACTCGATGCAGAGGGGAAAAGGGCACAAGCTGACCAGGAGTTGTTGCTTTGTGGAAAGGTAACCGAGGCCAGTGTGGGCGGCATCACCCTCAGACACTGCAGGAAGTCATTACAAGTTGGAAAAATAGTGGTTTAGAATGCAGCCATACAGAGCAGAAATTGGAAATACACCATTAGATTCTTAATTAGTCATTTGATATTTTCGCTTAGTCTCCTCACCAAAATTAATTGGAACATTTTTATAATAGTAATAAATTTCAAATTTTACATCTCATCGGGGAGTTTTTCCACATAATTAAATATCAGCTAATAAAAAAGAAATTTCTCAGCACTTACCCCATTGTATTATGGGCTTGATTCTCCATGTTAAGAAACTCTGTACATCGGTTTATATTTCTTGATTTTCAATCTGTTAGGGAAACAATGATCCAGACTCCTAAAATGATTAGATTTACTAACCTATAAAATATGAAAATTTGTCACTGGCAAACAAGTTAGTATGAGTTTTTCAGAGCGTGGCAGCTCTGGACTCTGCAAAATGCAGAAACTTGGTCAGAGTGTCCCATACATTTATAATATTGGCTTAGTGATAAGCTGAAATGACACTAAAAAGAGCATCCACGCACTATTTGCTTAAAAACAGTTTAGAATCCAGTACTTGCAAAGTGCTCAGTACAAAAAAGAAGCATAACACAGAATTCTTTATTCAAAAGGCGTTCAAGCAGAGGTTATCAAACTTTGCAGACTGGTGGATCCTCTAGTTTGAGTATGTTCTTCCTTTGGCCCATGATTGCTCTAGTACAAAATTTCAGGCAAAACAAACAAACAAACAAAAACCTAGGGAGTGCCTTAAAATAGAAATCTTACAATTCCTTAGTGGCTTTGTGAGCAGTGACTCACTTCTTGACAAAATAGATGTTAGTACTTCCTGAAGTTCAAAAAGAGAAAAGTTTGTCCCAGCCACAAAATTCTAGTTAAAAAACAATGTAAGAGGATAAATAAAGCACTGGAAAGAACTTCATCTCTTCCAAATTACTGTAGTAAGTCAATTAAATAGCACTGGACCAAGGAGGATTGCAAAAGGTTAAACAACATTGGTAAAAGAGAAAGAGACTTTGGGACTCACATCACTCCCACATCGAAGGAATTTAGGAGACACCGGAACTGTGTGTGAGGCAGAGACCCTGGTGGACATTCAGCTGAATAAACGATTCTGTGGGGAAGGAACCTGAGGCGCAAATAAGCTAAGTGACCTGACCAAGGTCACTCTCCCAGGCCCGTCTTCGGCCGGCCGGGGTCAAGCCTCACTTCGCAGGGCCCAGGCTTGTGGGGGTCGCCACCCCTTTCGGGTCCAGGTCAGCTGCCTACCGGAGACGAGGGCCGGGGCCGGTTACCTGCGCCACACCGCGCTCGCCTGGAGGTCTAAGGCCCGGCCACCGGCCTTCCCGGATCACTGCCCGCCAGCCCCGCAGGGACCGCCACCAGCCACCGCGCTCCCGCCACTCCGCCCGCCGGCCCTGGGCCGGGCGTTTGCTCTACCTGCCCCTTCGCCGCTATGGGTCGCCATGGCGACGGGCGCGGCGGGCCTGGCGCTGGGGAGGGGCAGGGACGGGGGTGGGGCGACGGGGCGGGGCGGGGCGGGGCAGCCCCGCCCCCTCCACGCTTGCCGCGCGAGGGACTAGCTGAGCAGCTCTGCCCAGAGCGCAGGGCCGACCGTGGGCGGGCTCCTTCTGTCTGCTACCCCACCGCTTGTTGCCAGGCACCCAGCGGCGCCCGAGAGAAGTCTGTGGAATGAATGAACTAACCGGGGAGTTAACGAAGCCACTGGTTTCCCTAAATCCAACTGGCTCGCTGTCCTCTTACTCAGATTTGAAACAATAGCAGAAGGAAGCAGGGTAAAGAGAAGTGGTACCTTTCTCTGTTCACCCATGTGTCCTCCAGCTGGAAAGAGCTGGCGGTCTTTTAACTGTGCTCTCAGCTCACTGTCATTCTGTTGGTGGTGACGGCAGCATTTGTACCTCACATTCCCAGGCAGCGCCTTGGAGGGAGGGCGAGCAGGCTGTGTAGCCTCCCTTTCAGGGAAAAAGAAATAGCTTCCAGGTGGGGAGCTGGGACGGTACTCAAGGTAGCTGATTCCAAATTCTTTCCTTAGTCCGCTAAATTCCAAAAACAATTGATGTCAGAACCTCTGTTCCACCCCCTTGATTTCACACAGAAATAAAGATAAATGTAAAGCTCAAGCGCTTGAATTTTGTGTTTGGAAAATATTGAATATATGTTAGAAACAATTGCTTCCCAATGCCCAGTAAATAATTTCTAATTGCTAAAATCTTTCACTTACCCTCACTTTCATAACTTTAACATCAATTTGCTCCTTTTATATGGCTATTATTTAAAAAAAAAAAAAAAAAAAAAACAACGAGCATTCGTCCATTAAGGGTACTTCTGAATTTCATAAAACCATTTGCTATTTCTTGATAAATCCAGTTTGATAAATAAGTTATGTGCCGGAGTTCAACACATTAGGTCTAATTAGCATTTCACAGTCCTCACATTATTATTATTGAATGAAGAAAGTGATTATTTCACTTTACCTTAAAACTTTCCACTATTCTGAAAACCTTAGTCATGTTCTTTATTGTTGTCGAAACTGAATGAGTCAGTGTATTTTTCCTGACTTAAAAGAAAGCTGAAGTAGGAAGAAATTTTAATGAAATTTCAGCAGGCCCAAGGCCATTCAATCTCTGTAGCTTTTTACCACATTCATTATTTCCTTCAGTTCAGAAATACTCTGGGAGGCAAAGGTTACAAGTAATATTAACAGTTTCTTTTAGTAGATAAGAAAGAAAGGGCCACGGCCACTTAGAACAAAGGATTTGTCCAAGATGATACCACTAGTTCAAATAGCTCATCTTATTCTAAAAGCCAAAGCTCTTCAAATTGTCAAAAATTAGGGCTGAGCTGATTTCTTTGAAAGTCAGGGTCTTGTATAGATAATTACAGATTTCACATTTTCAGAAGAAAGAATGGATGGGGAAGGGCTTGCAAAAACTGTCAGAAGATGCATACTGAATAACAGAATTTAGGAAAATTTAAATTTAAACTGAACACCTCCATGCAATTTAATAGGAACAAAGATTTTCATTTCAGAATGAGTGCTGAGATTTGAAACACAAAATCCTATACCTCTCACCCCATTCCTCAGGAATAGGTACCTGTAAAGACTTGAATTCACCTTGACATATACCTATTGTTAGATCTTTGTAAACAAATTTGTTTTGAAGAAGGAGATGAGAATGGCCCCAAATCTAAAGGAGAGGAGAGATGGTGAGAAGTGAGCAGAGAGTTGAGTCCTGAGAAAGTATTAAAGGACACAGTAAAGTCAGGACAAAACATAAAATACACCCAGAAGAGTTCAAAAGAGAATAGAAGAGGCAGAAATGGATGAAGAAGTGGATGACCTGTGAAAGAAAAGCTAAGGTAGCAATTACAGATAGTAAATAATAATCTTAGCAATAGACAATATTAAAGTGCAAGCCTTCATTGAAAAAAAACAAATTTACAGTAGCAAAATATAAAATTAATGTACACTATATAAAATAACGATGTGAATCTTTGTATTAAACACAAAACTTATTTTGTATATAATTTTTTAAAGCAAGTTGAAAAAAACTACATACAATAAAAACTAAAAATAAGGATATCTTATACATGGAAAATACCTTAGAAAAAAGATTTAACCATAATAATAAAATAATCCTAGGATCGGAAGGAACTACAGAGGGGACATAAGCACTTTCTACTTTATATGCAGAAACTCAGACCCAGAGTTATAATTATTTGGTTGCCTCATTTTTAGTTAATGGCAAGAATAGAGATCATGATTATTTTTTTTCTTATTTATACTATGCTACTTCTATAAATGGAAGCAGAGGAAGTTCAATAATATACTCAACCCAGTATATCTAAGATATTATTTCAACATGTAGTCAACATAAAAATTCTCAGATTTTTATACTAGGTCTTTATATCTGATCTATAATCATACTTATAGCTCAGTCATATATACTGGCCATATTCAAGAGGTCAATAGTCATATGTGACTGATAGCTAACATTAAATAGCAAAGTCTGAGAATTTGGGTGCCTGACAGTGTACTAAAGCCCTTCATTAAATATGAATGATTGTAAAATGATAGACTCTAAATTGAGTGTGATTTTTAGAGAGAAAGTAGTCTATCTCAAAACTCTCACTAACTCGCTCTGGATTAGGATAGGGATTGAACATCCAAAGAGAAATGTATAAATTGGAGCCCTTAACCAGACAGGGTAAGGCTTTTCACTGTGTCAGCTGGCTCAGTTTTTTTTTCTCCAATGAGCATTCAGATTAGATAGGAGGACCTTACTTACCTCTTAGTCTTTGCTGGCCAATGTCTAGCTCCCAAATGAGCATGTACTCATGATAGTTATTAGACACACCAGGTCTCATTTTAAGTTCAGAAAATAAAACCAAATTCCTAAAAAATGTATCAGTCATGAACCCCATATTTATCCTTTTTATAGGCCCTTTTAAAGGGTCCTTTTTATGACCCTTTAAAGTTTTATCAATGCCGTTCTGTCTTGGATCCTTAGAGAAACCAAGAAAGACCTTGTACAGTCATGAACTAAGTTTTATATACAGTTTTGTTTTCGAGACAGGGTTTTACTATGCAGTTCAGGTTGGCCTTGAACTCAGTTTGTTTCCCAGGCTGGCCTCGAACTACCAGCAGTCCTATCTGTCTCCCGGGTCTTAGATTACAAACATCAGCCACCAAGCCCAGCTCAAGTTTTATATACAGAATATGTATTTCCTGGAGACAGGCATGCAAGGCTCAGGCATTGGTGAAATTTAAAGTCCTTAATGGGACAATGAGGAAAGGTGTTTTTCTACTTAAGTGCCCTTTTCTACTTGGGTCAACTTTTTCTGAGAGCTTGTATTTGTTAAAACCTTTAGCTAATATGATAATAAAAATTATTGAGTCAAAAATCTAAAAAAAAAGAACCTAGAGAAGTGAGCTTAGCACTAGATGCTGTTTTTAATTTCGAGGCATTAATGCTCTGCAAGAAATAGTTGCAATTATAAAAGTCTTATGACACTAAGGAGGGACAATTATAAAAGTCTTATGATACTAAGGCGGCAAAAGCCAAACCATGGGCTCACCCAAGGTAGGGAGTCAGGAAATAAAAATCTGCCAATAAGCTGAGACCCTGAAACACTTTGCCTTCAGGAACATGGTAAAATAGAAGTGAAGCACTGTTCTTGCCAATTTTCAGCCAAGTTTGGCTCTCTTAGATAATTTGGGATAACCTCAGCCTTTGAATTTGGAATAAGGTGGTATGGACTAGCAGATTAAGACATTTGGAAGAAGCAAGTAAAATTTTTCTTGAGCTCAAATTGTTCCTAAAAATAATTACCTAGCTACAATCACCAGAACACATGTAGGCCAAGAAATTAGACATATAGGGAAAACCAGTTGAAACAAGAGATCACAGAAACAGAACTAGGTATCGGAATCACACAATGATTATAAAAATGTAGATGTTATGTTTAAATAAATAAAAGATAAAATTGAAAAAATCTGCAGGAAACACTAAATATAAAAGTAACACCATATTTGAAAAGAAGCCAAATAGAAATTCTGAAGTTAAAAAAAATTACTAACACAAAAAATACAAATATATAAAGATAGATTTGCATTAGATGAATAAATAACTTGTAAACTGGGAAACAGATCAGTAGGAAATGTTCAGATTATAGGGAAAAGAGAAACAGTAGAAAATATTTTTATATAAAGTTCTAAAAACTTTAGTTTCTATCAACAAAATTTTTATTATTATAAAAGTAAAATGCATGTAAAAGTATTTAATACATGCTCTGACATCTAGGGGGTATTCCAGAAGGACTTGCTGAATTTGAAGTTTAAAAAATTAATTTGAGGCGCGCCTGGCCATAGGTCTGCAGAGGAGGAGCTGGGCAGATCTGGGGTGCCCTCACTGGCCTCTCTGCGTGTCTGGAGGACTCTGGATATCTGCGCCCAGACTGCTGGAGTTCCCTCAGGCTTCCAGGTGCAGTGAAGGAGAGAGGTGGGTTTGAGGCTTCCACATCAGCCTCCCCATTCCCGGCTTCATTTGGAGACCTGCTGAGCTCCCCATAGGTGGGCTGGCCCACACTACCAGCCTAGCCAGCCTGTTTAGCTGCCGCGCCTGGCCATAGGTCTGCAGAGGAGGAGCTGGGCAGATCTGGGGTGCCTTCACTGGCCTCTCTGCGTGTCTGGAGGACTCTGGATATCTGCGCCCAGACTGCTGGAGTTCCCTCAGGCTTCCAGGTGCAGTGAAGGAGAGAGGTGGGTTTGAGGCTTCCACATCAGCCTCCCCATTCCCGGCTTCATTTGGAGACCTGCTGAGCTCCCGATAGGTGGGCTGGCCCACACTACCAGCCTAGCCCAGCCTGTTTAGCTGCCGCGCCTGGCCATAGGTCTGCAGAGGAGGAGCTGGACAGATCTGGAGTGCCCTCACTGGCCTCTTTGCGTGTCTGGAGGACTCTGGA